GCCTGGTTAGCATGTGCCACAGAGTTGAGTCAAGTGATACAGGTGAGAACCATATAAGGAATAGTTGGATTATGGAGGAAGGGGTCGCAATACTGCTAGGAGTATGTACCCGAATTAATTATGTTCCACAGATCCAGCTTTGAAGCTGAATCCGTGTATGATAAGAATTTTGTTTAGAAAGGCATGGTTACATAACCGTGGCATATTTATCAGAACCATCAAAGTTCAGATATCAAGTAGCTATTTAACCTTTCGATCAGGTAGCTAAATCTACCGCTATGGTTTTTCCTTCTTACATAAGGACCCTTCTCCACCGGACACAATCAAGTGTACCGTCGAGACCTAGCATTTATCGCCATTAGTTGGCGATAGCTATCCTCCGGGGAAAGTTTCTTTGTTGGATATAGCAACTTGGACATTTCCGGATTAAGTTCTGTTTTAACTATTATCTTTCCTTTAGTGAACTCGAAAAGCGTGCACCGACACAATTCCCCACGGTGAGCTCTGTATCGCACGCTTTCGCTGCATTGATCAGATCTACTTTCAGGTTTCCGCCGCCCTTGCTTAAATAACAGCCTAGGCCTAGCCAAACTTACTTCCAACCTTTCGGAAGATTCAGAATATATCGTTTTCCACAAACCAAATCTTTGGTTCTGTTTCCTCTTGGGACGGATATTCAAAACGAACGTGAGCAAACATTAGTGACAGGTTCTGGCGAACATCAACAACCATCGAGTCACTTTAAACGTAAGAGTTTTATTTGGTAAGGGAAAGAAAAGAAAAATTGTTTGTCACGGACTAGTAGGATGAAAGGTAAATTGGAATCTCGACAGGACATAGGGCTAACTTTCACCTAGGGACTCTCCGGATTATCTATCTTTCACCTTGCACTGATCACTCCAAATCGGTGAATACAGTTTGCCAGCAGTCATCCTGTTTATGCTTGAAGCTTATCACATTCATTGTTGTAAGCACACTTTCTGGGAGTTTGTTCCAGCTGTTTACGACACGGTTTGTTAGAAACTGTGCTTGAACGTTCAGCCTGGAACGACCTTTTGCCAATTTAAAAGAGTGTCTGCGTAACACCACGTTGTCATTGGCAGTGTTTTAGTGAAGCACCCGTACCAGTAATGCCTTTTATGCTCCTAAATGCTTCGAGCAAATCACCCCGAGGCGTCTCCTTTTCACAGAGAATAGGTTCAGCATAGACAAACGAGTTAGGTAGTCTTGCCCGCTGAGATTGCGGAAGCATCTCGTTGCACCGTCTGTAGGATCTTCTTGTCCCATTCCAGGTGTGGCGACCACGCTTGGATACAGTAATCCAAGTGTGGTCTCACATACACTTTAAATAAAGGTACCAACACCTCTGGATCTCGCGAGAGAACAGTTCTCAGCAGTTGGTAAAGGGCGTTATTTGTTTAACGTGCCGCCTGTAGGCACTGCTTCTCTGATTTGAAACTACTGGTGACCTGAATTCCCAGGTCCCTCATTTCTTCACTTCTTTGGAGTTCCACTGGATTATCAGTGTTAATCCACCGCATCGAGTTTGTGCCTCCAGTCTGTATGATCTGTCTACACTTGGCCACGTTGAGCGGTAGCTCCCAGTCTTCAGTCCAGCGTGTGAGGATGTCCAAATCCCCCTGTGTGGACTGGTTTGAGGGGGAACCTATCAGTTTCAAGTCGTCAGCGAACATGTAAACTGGGTTCTCCAACCTCTCTGTCAAGTCGTTCACATAGGCTAGGAGTAGGGGAGGGTCTAAAACTGACCCCTATGGAACTCCACTTGCTATCCTGCCTTCTATCGATTTGGTCCCTTCTATATTAACATTGAAATACCTTCCCCTCAGGAAGTCTTCGATCCATGCAATCAGTTTCGTGTGGATTTTGAAGGTCCTAAATTTCAGAAGCAGTAGCCTGTGGTTTACTGAATAAAGTAGCAGACCTCCACCCCGTGCCCTCTATCCAGCCTGTTGGTGATGTCGTCTAAAAACATCTATAGATTCGTGAAACAGGATCACAGGTCACAGGTCACAGGACTTGCGGCTAATGCCAATTTGAGCCCAGGTTCTTGCATCGTGAGCGTATCGTTTCGCTACGTGCTGTTCGATATTGACACACCTACTTCAAACTGAAATTGCAGGACGCAAAAAGGCCTTCGCCTGTTTGGAGTTCTGGTTTTGAAGGGTTGAAGTCTTGAAGTGACTCTTAAGTTCGAGGCTGGCGCCCAATGGTCCCGATCCTTCATGGTTTCTTGCTGCCTGTTCTTGGAGGATACACCTGGAAAATCAGAAAAATCTGGAGGGGCAATATATCGCCTTGCTCAGGGACTAGCGATGCGATGTAGATGAGTGCGATGCGAGAGAACTTCGGCTTTCCAGCAAGAAGGAAATATTCCCTCATCCTTACACCGTTGGAAGAGTCGGACGTTAGGGCCAGTTGAGATGTCCGCCGGTTCTTTAAGAATTCTAGGATGTACCTTTTCGGGCCCCATACAGCAGTAGAGGTTGAGTTTCCGTAGTTTCTTCTCTACGTCTAGCTGTGAGTAAGTAACACGGCTGAGCTTGGAGTTTAGTGGAAAAGGCTGTAGTATCGGATGGGTAGTGATGCGAGTGAGACTGACGATGATCTGGTGGTGCTTTTTAAATTCGTCGGCAATCCGTCAAGTGACAGTTACTTCTGTCCCATCTGGTAACTTAAGGGCAAGAGAGGGGTGAGATGTGCCACGCAGTCGGTGGATATATTTGTAGAAGTATGGTCTGTTCTTTTGAGCCCGTTCAAGTAAAGCTCTTTGAGTGCGCAGTTTGTAGTCTTTATTAAATGAGCGGCAGATGTTCCTGAGCCTTCTGAAGGCTAGTCCATCAGTTTCCTGTCCCGTTTGCTTGTATCTTGCAAACACTCTAGACCGCTCATCTAAAAGCCTGCGGATAGGACGAGGAAGAGGTGGTTTAGAGCTAGAGTGCGCGAGAACCCGAGGGACGAACCCCTCGTTAGCTGACGTGACGATTCGTTCGATGTAATCTGTGTGATTGTCTACGGGCAGGTACAAGAGAAGGTCGGAAAACTGTACCCAACGAAACTCTCCTAAGGAGATGAAGTTGGTATGCTTGAAAAATCGGACCATTTGTGGACACTATTTTGGTAATGAAGTCAAATAGCANAGCAGGACAATGTGGTCACTCTTTCCGAGAGGTGGAAGGTGATTTACCACGTCGATCCGGTAGTCTCCATTCGTTATGATCCGATCTAGCAATAAAGGAGCCTAAACCGGGTGGAACCTAGTAGGTTGATCTACGTATTGAGACCAGGAGTTTTCTAATACTAGATCGATAAGAGGACGATCAAAAGAAAGGTCGGAAGAGTATGCTCTGAGTCAATCAAGACCCGAGGCATTGAAGTCATCAGTAATTAGAAGGTGGGTGAAAGAATGGGTCCCACTCATTGACCTCAACTGGTCAATGAGTAGCGGGTTCCATCCGTGGGCCGAGTAGCCTGCAATTGTAATGCTTTCACGGAGATTCACGGGGATTGAGACGCTTTTGAACCGAAATTTTTCCGGTCTCCGGGGTTCTGATGGTAGATTTACTGCTCGGTGAGGGACGGAGGTCCTCGGAGTAGTTGTCTGTTACTCGGTATCCGATTTTGCCTGAAATAAGAGACAATAAGAAGTACTACCGTTCAGCTGTTTTTTTATGCGCTCGTAAGTAAGCAATGGTCAAAACCACGTGAACGTAGTTCACAAAAAACTTGCCACCAAACGCTTCGCAATGTCCCAATGGCGCCCACCGTTATAAAACCGTTACAGACAGCCAGGGCAACAACCAAACCGTGCAGTCGTTATTCCAGCAGCCGGGATAAAAGAGTAAAGAAAAGCAGTGCTTTAGGCAGATAGGGCGATGGAGTGGGTCTCCAGCCTCACCTTGACAGAACCGCATCCGCGGCTTACTTGGCGCTGGACAGACAGGTTGCCCCAGGGCTACATAAATCGGCCGCTACGACCAGGATTTTGGTGTATACATGAATGCACTGTGTGAGGGTAACAGGATGCATGAGTGCTGTTTCAGTAAGACAGGCGGTAACCCTGTGTCCTTACCCGACTCCGGTCTTCGACTGCTTGTGATTAACCCAGAGAGAATCTCCCTCCGAACCACCTGCCCGCATCATTTCTCTTTTTAGTTTCTTTGTACCTGCTTTA